TTATCATATTTTGATTATATTCAACTATATTCCTCAGAAAATTCAAGATAGCATTAAAAAACACAAGCATTGCCCATATGAACCTCTTCGTTAACCAAGGATCTCTTAACTGGGCTCACACACAGCCAGGTGTAACCAGGGCAATGTCAGAACATCAAGTCTTGGCTAAGAAGGCTGCTACTTGTAATAGTTATACATATTCATATAGACATTGCACACATCCATATAAGGCTTTCTGTGGATTCTACATGGAAGTTGTATCCAGGACCTGCTGGGTTTTTATCTCATACCTTTGTGCAGCAATTTATATCTGTAACAAAGTATATGTAAAATGTTTGCTAAATAAACAAAAGCAAAATTCTGACTGGGTAGCATTTTGCACAGGGGTAAACAAATTTTGTACAGTGGTAAACAAATCCATTCATTACAATCAAGAGAGGATTGATTAGGAAATACCAAAACCCACCTGTTTTGGGTGATTCAAATATTTTCCAGCATCAAAGGAACAAAATGAAGGGAATTGTACAATTAACCTGAGGTTATTTTACCCTTAAATATTTTTTTTGAATTGTTGGAAAAGGGACACTGAGAAATCCACAAAACAACACCAAATGTATACAAATCGATCTGCCATGTAAGCTTGGTGCAAAGGGCATGAAAATCAGGATGTGCACACTGACATTTCACAAATCTAATAATAACCCCTTAGATTTTTCTGGCACTTTTCATCCAGAAAAAGTAGATTCCAGGGTGATTTATGGACTGTAAAAATATAAATATTTATATTTGGGTCATTTCACTAGCAGAAGAAGATGTAGTGCCCTATCCAAACCAAAGACATCAAATGGAGAGTGAAAAAGTCCTATAGATCCCTTGTTTATATCTTTGCCATGAGACTAAAACCATTCAGGTAGCGTCCTACTTTTTGTGCTCTTTGCTTTCCCATTATTGATATAAATTTCTTATAAAGGATTGTGGTAGCAGGAGTGCAAGGGCAGGCTGAATCTCAACTGTTGCCTGGTACAGCAGACATATGGCTGCTTAAGGAGGAAGAGTCCTTTCCACTTTCTTATCCTTCCCCACCCTTCAGAAGAGATCTGAGATATGGGACATCCCCAAGCAGGCTGCAAGGAGGTTGCTCAGACATATGGGGCTGCAGACAATGAAAATTTTCAGCACACAGAAAGTGCAATTTTCATAACTTTAAAGGATTTGATGTTCTTTTTTAGTTGTTTGGGTTGCTCTTAGGTTATCTCTATGACCACAGGGCAACAACCTTCCTTCCTAAAGACTGATAATCAATCATTTGACTGTTTATCTGCCCCTCATAAAAATGTCGGAACACCTTGGCTAGTTGCAAACAAATGAATAAAAAAGGTAGAAGCCTCAAAGATAATTAAGTTCCCAGGGATTTGTGAGCATCAGTGACTAGAGACTCAAATTAGTTTTCCAACAGAGACGCAGGAGGAACTCGGCTGTTAAGGGCTGTGCTTGGCAGCAGCCAGCCACCCCGGCAGCACAGGCAGCACCGGTGCTGTGCCGGAGCTGCAACAGTGGCTGCCTCTCATCACCAAGAAGAGATGTCACATTGGACACGAAAGAGAAATGGGAGATGAGGTTATAGCAATGAGTGAGTCAGAGGTGAAACCACAGGAAACCTAGCTTCATTAGTTCTGTTGCTCATAGAACAAGATGTTTTTAATAATGGCTGGAAATTCATCTCTTTTACAGGCCTTGCAGGTCTCAGCAGTATGAAGGATACTGTGTATGGCTGCATCTTAGATAAAATTGAGAACTGATGGCACTGGGAAGAGAAGCAGGGGAGAGGCACAGGTGTTGCATTCAGTGTAAAAGAAAATAAGAGGCAGAGAAACAAATTCAGGAGGACACATGGAAAAACGAATGGGTGATAACAAGGTGAGGAGAGAAAGAGGGAGTGTGGAGGAAGGAAATAAGTAGGAAATTGAAATCTGGACTAGAGTTCTATTCACATGCAGCCCCATTATCTGCGTTCTGATGCTGGAGAGGTAGGAAGCAAAACTTTCCACCCTAAATCACACCCTGTGCGTATGCACAACTGCAGTGAAGATCCCCAGGAGTCTGGGAAGCTGTTAATCATTCAGTCCTTTACCTGTTGCTCTTTTCAAGGCATCTCTGCGTTTAGGATTTAATTTGACCTCTTTTCTTCTTTTTCTTTTTTGGTGGGTGGTGATAAGGAAGGGGAATAATCCTTCAGCTGCGAATAGCAGGTTTTGATGTGCAGCTGTTTATCTGGGTTCATTGGGGAATATCTCCCTGTATCACTTCTCCATGGAGCAGAAGGATAGTATGCTGGCTCCAAGACAAGGAAGGGCTGATAGGAGGCAGAAGACCATCTCGTAAACACTTTTCACCTCTGCAAGTGGGCTGAGTGCTGAATTCATCACTGAATTCAGTAACCAAAGTGCTGCAGCACACATTTGTGCCCCAGCTGGTAGAAGCACAGGCATATTGATGCCACATTGGTGTTTTAGCACATCCACATGTGCCTGGCAGAACAGCAACTTACAGAAGCTTAGCAGAGAAGACAGCTGTCCTTGGGTGGGATGCTGTGTGGCCACCTAGAGCCTCAGTTCAGCTTCATAATCCCTGTCACACTTGGTAAGGTGTAATGCACATCAAGTAATTGTTACGGACTGGATGAGGATTCAGCACAGTTTCACTTCACCAGCTCCTCTCCTGAATTAAATAAACTGCCACCTTTGCTCTGGTTCTGTATATGTCCACAGGCAGTTTTCTTATAAACGTTTTCATGAGGCCAGAGTAACAGGATCTGAACAGGAGCTGGAGGAAACTGTTCCAGCCAGAAGGAACCATGTTGTGTGTTGGGAGAGGGCCAAGGCTTAGATTTAACCTGGGTACAGCCACCATGAGGCAGCAGAAGTATAGCAAGTAAGGTCCTGATTAGTGATCATCAGATGGAACAGGTGTGGGCCCACATCTGGGGCTTCTCCCCACAGTAGGGAGAGCAGATCACTAGGTTGGGAACAGGCAGGGTGGAAGGACGAGTGACAGAGACCCCAGCAAAAGACCCTGAGGCAGAGCATGCCAGGAGACAGTGATTCACAGCCCAGGGCACAAGGAGAGCTGCCGGGCTAGTAATTCCAAGCCAGAAGTTTTGGTACAACCTGGCCAGGAGCCCAGACATTGAAAAAGCAGCCTGGAAAGTGAGGTGTTACCAAGCCCATTAGCAGCCTGCGAGTTTCTCCTTCCTGGATTCCTCACAAGGATTTCAGAACATGACTAATACAATTTTCCTAGGGAAGTCCCATCTCTCTCTTCACATTCCCCTTCTCTCTTCCAGTAATTGAAGAGGTACAGAGCATGGATCCAGATCTGAAACACTGCAATTATGCCAGAGCTGTTCTTTCTCATCTTACAGTGACTCAGCCCAGTCAGGTGAAGAGCAGGAAGGAAAAGCAAACAAACAAGGACAAGGGCCTTCTGGTGCAGGTTAGCACAAAAACTGGGCCAGACTGGCAAGATCCAGCTAGCACAGTCTGTCTCTTCTGTGCAACCCCAGAGGGAAGACCCCACAAAACGTTATATCAAGTTTGAAGGGTCCCAACCCACCAGTAAGTCTGCAGTGTCACTTTGCACAGCCACAGTCTGAAAGCCAGATTTAACAACTCCTCCAAGTCTAATTTTACTCTTGCCCAGGTTTTTGGAGTTGATTTTTATTTATTTGGTATTTGTTGCTGTTCTGAGATGCAAAGGCAACTTTTCAGCAACTTCCAGTTTGGGAAACATGACTTTTGGACCAGCTGTCTCCTGTTGTTTCAGTAGGGAGCCCAACACACACAGCATTTAATGAAGCTGCACTCGAAGTGCCAAGAGCAGTTAATGAATTACTCCTGGTCCACATCTGACTAATGGAAAGTTACAAAGTCTAAACAACTTGCCCAAAGCTTAACTGAGCCATTCTTCTAAGGCATCCCTTTTTTTAACAGATTATCCCTACATTAATTATAGTTGAGACAAATTTGACATCTGAATGTGGAGAAGATCATGATGCTAAAACAAGGTGATGCTATGTTCATGTACAGGTAGGAAATGGGCTCTGCAATAACTCTGTGGCTTGTTTCTGGGGGAAGGCAGGAGAAATTTGCACACAGGTTTTTCAGTGGAGTGCTTCAGAAAGAGAAAGGACCTTCAAAAATTGTGACTGCAGAGAGTTTACCTAAGAGGGATAAACCCTGGAGTACTTCAAGTTCAGTAAAAGTGATGCCAGGGAACATATTTCGGGCCCCCCCCACAACGACAAGGCAAGGTGTGCAAGAAGAGAGGCAACCTCTGGGTGCTCAGAGCCTCCGCTCAGGGGATGAGGGGCGGGAATTACGCTGTTTCTGCATGTTCAGGAGCCTCCCTAAAACACCACCAGGATCCGACAGGTACCCCACGCCCTTTAGGTACAGACCAGCAGGTAGACCTTTCGCCTGGAGAGCCCCGCGGAGGCCAAGCGCCGGCCCCGGCGCCGGGCAGCACTGCCCCGGCAGTGCCGCTGCTCCCCGCTGTTCACTCCCCGGGCCCCGCAGGCGCTCGGCGCTCCCGGCGCTGGAGCTGCCGCCCCCGGCGCGGCGCCGGTTCCCCGGGAGCGCTCGGCACCGCGGGCGGCCCCGCTCCGCCGAGCCGGCTGTGCCTGCCTGGCGGGCAAAACAAAGCGGAGAAGGGGAAAGGAAAATGGGGAGAAAGTACAGCTCCTGCCGCCTCCCGGCCCTCCTCCTGGCTCTCCCTGCATGAGACAGCGCTGCAAGCGGATCCTGACCGGGGGCAGGGGGTGGAGAGAGGAGGAGGAGGAGGAGGAGAACGGACGGAGGGAGGGAGGGAGAAAGGGAGGGAGAGAAGGAGGGACGAACGGGAGCGTCTCTCCTTCCCTGGGCTGTTTTTTCAGTTTCCTGTCTCGCATTGTGCTCACAGCGGATATGTGCTGCGCCTACAGGTGTGTCCCCTCCTCGCAGCTTTTCCCCAGCTCCCAAGCGTAGGCTCTGGCTGTCGGGGGACGGCGGCGGATCGCGACCGCCATGTGATGATTATTTCTCTTGGGGCGGTTTCTCTCTCCTCTCGCTCTCTGCCTCCCCCTCTCTCGCTCTCCGCCGCTCTCCTCCCTCCTCTTGGAGGTGGCCGCAGCCGCTGCCGCCTTCGCGCTGACTCCGGCTGCGGTGGCGGCGGCGGGGCCCGCCGGGAGCATGGGCGGCCGCCGAGAGCTGCCGTAGCGCCTCTGTCCAGCCCGCCGCCGCCCGCCCCGGGCTCCTGGGGCCGCCGCTCCCGCTCGGGCAACTCGGACGGTCCGAGCCCGCGGGCTCCCTCCCGCCGGCGCCTGCACCTGTTGAAGGTAACGCAGCCCCAGCCCTGCCGCCGTGCGCCGCGGGATGGGGCGCGGGGTGGGGGTGGGGACGGGTTCCTTGGCGACTTCCCCCCGTCTCCCCCAGCTCTGGAGCTGCTGAGTCGCGGACAGAGAAGCTTTTCCCCTCCTCGGCTGCGGGGCCAAGGCCGGGGAGGCGGGGGCAGGCAGCGGGGGCCGGGGCGGAGAGAGCTCTCCGTCGCGCTGTCCGCGCCCAGATGGTTTTGGTTAAGGGGCTCCCGGGCGGCGGCTCCGGATTCGGAGCGCCTTTCCCAGCCGTCGTGCAGGGCGAGGGGGGAGGCGGAGGAGGGCGGCTCTTCCCGGCCGGCAGCCGGGGAGCGCCGGTGCCCGGCGAGTTCCGCCGCCCCCGCCGCGGAGCGCAGCCCTGCTCGGCGGAGCCTGGCTGCTCTTCCCGGGAGTTTCGCAACCCCGCGGCGCAGCCGGGGTCAGCAGCCCCTGTGTCGCTGCTGGCCCTGGCCTGGCGCCAGCCCCGCGCTCCGTCTGCGGACTGCCAGCTCGGGAGCTCATTTGGGTTTTCCTGCAAACGCGTTTTTTCTCTTTTCAGAAACAGCTTTAAACTTTCTTTCCAAACTGTTAATTAGATACACTGTACTTTGCTCGTGTTCCGTGCAGGCGAATGGGAGTGCGAGGCTGGAAAGGCTTGTGACTCAAGGCATAGATATTCGGGAGGCGAAGAACGCATTTGCGTGCTGCGTTCAGCCGGGCTGTACCTGTGATTTGTTACTTTGCCTTCTCCGTGACTTCATCAGTCTTGGTGATACCAGGAGACGGAAGGGATCTGTAGCGATTTTGGTCCTTTCGGGGTTAATCAGACACTCGGGTGAATATACAAAGAAGTATAAGTTTATCGCCTCTCTGAAATCCGATGGAAAATAGCTTTTGTCCATGAGTAACAACGCTACGGTCCCTATCGTTGAGTTTGTCATCAAATGATAACTTGCTTGTGAGGGAACTTGATGCTTTTGTAACTAAGGCTGTTACCTTGAATGTGATGATTAGCTTATTGAACACCAGAGGGAACTCTGAATAGGTAATTCATTCGAGGAAGATATATGCTTATTTTACTGTTTATATTCTCATTACAATGGAATCTAGGAGGAAGCAAAGGTTGGTAAGTAATAGGCTGCTGGTATGTACCTAGGATTGGCTTCAGTTTTCTTTACAGTTCCTTTCAGAAGATGTCAGCTCTGAAGTTGCGCTAAAAAATATCTGTGGCTTTTTTTTTTTCCAAAGCTTGAAATATGCAACTGGTCTTGCAAGCTTTGGATGCTCTGATAGTCTGTTACAACAGTGTTGATAACCAGGCTTCTTTGATAGTCCTGGATTGTCAGCGACATGGGAAGGATAGCACAATAAATACACTTGTGACTCCTACTTATACTCCAGGAGCTGATGCATTCAGCTGTTCATCCTGTCCCTTTGCCAGGGGTTACCCTCCCATTCAGCATTGTTTTCTATTGAACTTTGAATCTGCCAGAGTTTACAGACGGGCTTATGGATGTAAATTGTATTTTATGGCTATTCATGTTAGTATGTGATGTGAAGTCTAGTAGCATGAATCTCCTGTTCATCGCTCTGTCCTGGCAGAGGCACAAGGCAAAAACTGAAGTCAGCTGAATCAAGCTGCAGTTGTGAACCATAGTCCATTGGCACCTACATTCTTCTGAAATGGCAAATGAGACTCCAGAGAACTGCCTTGTACCAGGGCTTGGTGGGCAGTGGTAGCAGGGAGATAGCTCTGCACAAGAAGAGGCTGTGTGACCTTCTTGGTAGGTTGGTCACATTACACAGACTTCTGGGTTTCAGAAGGATGTAGTAGATCATAGAATCATAGAATCAGCCAGGTTGGAAAAGACCTCTGAGATCATCAAGTCCAACCCTTGATCCACTATCATTGCGGTTACTAGACCATAGCACTAAGTGCCACATCCAGTCTCATCTTAAAAACCTCCAGGGACAGAGAATCCACCACTTCCCTGGAATGGGCAGCCCATTCCAATGCCTGATCACCCTCTCTGTAAAGAATTTCTTCCTAATATCTGACCTAAACCTTCCCTGGCACAGCTCAAGACCATGCCCTCTTGTCTTACTGATGGTTGCCTGGGAGAACAGACCAACCCCCACCTGGCTACAACCTCCTTTCAGGTAGTTGTAGAGAGTGATGAGGTCTCCCCTGAGCTTCCTCTTCTCCAGGCTAAACAACCCCAGCTCCCTCAGCCTCTCCTCATAGGACTTCTGTTCAAGTCCCTTCACCAGCCTCATTGCTCTTCTCTGGACCTGCTCTAGCACCTCAATATCCTTCCTAAACTGAGGGGCCCAGAACTGGATACAGCACTCGAGGTGTGGCCTCACCAGCACTGAGTACAGGGGAAGAATCACTTCCCTGGACCTGCTGGCCACACTGTTCCTGATAAAGGCCAGAATGCCATTGGCCTTCCTGGCCACCTGGGCACACTGCTGGCTCATGTTCAGCTTCCTGTCAATCCAAACTCCCAGGTCCCTTTCTGCCTGGCTGCTCTCCAGCCACTCTGTGCCCAGCCTGTAGCGCTGCATGGGGTTGTTGTGGCCAAAGTGCAGGACCCGGCATTCGACTTTGTTGAACCTCATCCCATTGGAATCAGCCTAACTCTCCAGTCTGTCCAGGTGCCTCTGCCTTCCAGCTGATCGACACTCCCCCCCAACTCAGTGTCATCTGCAAATTTGCTAATGGATGCACCCAAACAACCCCCTCTTCCTCTCTTCCTCCTTCATCCATTCTGGGAATTAGAAAGTGACCAAAGTTTTTTTTCTTTAAGCCAAGTCTTGCTTTGTCCATCTGACTTGAAGACCTGTTATGTAAAATATCCTCACTAAAGGCACAGCCTTCTTCTGCCTGAATTTTCATACAGATGATGTTGGAAGTTGGATAAAGGCTTTGTATAGCTTTACAAAGCTGGGAGCTGTTCGCCTTGCATGCAGAAGCTCCCAAAGAACAAATCACATTTTGAAGGGAGAGCTCTTCATGAATGCCTATTAAGAACAAAAAAGTCCCACTTGTTGCTAGCAGGTTTGGTTTCTGGCTCAGTTTTGAGAAAATGGTTTGCACATTTATTTATTTTTATGAAGATGTAATACTAAGCATTTGTATTTCTGTAATGGCTATAATTTGGAACTTTTCATACACTTTTAAATTATTTATTGTAAGAATCACTAAATGAACATATTTTTTACACTAGTGTCACATTCAGAATATTGAATTACAATTGTAAAATTAAGGTAACAAGCTTAAATTGTGGTTTGCAACTTTAAGATCTTGCCAGCAAGTAGTTAATGGCAACATCAAGTGCTGGAAAAGTAATTGCTACCATTCTTTTACTGTCATTTTGTTCTCACTCTCCTCCAGTCAGACTGTTCTGAAGAGATATCATGAATATTCACCAATATAGTTTGGCATTGTCACTTATGCAATTTCTCTTCAGATCCAATGTGTTGATGAGCTAATGTGCACTTGATTAGACGTACTTGATTTATGCAAACAAAAACTCTAGGTCCTTCTTGAAGTAAAGCTAGCACCTGCACAGCTGTTAGTGAGATGAGAGTCTAAATAATTAATATGGAATTAAATAAACAAACAACCCCAATGTGGTGTTCCTCCAACTTTGTCACCTTTATCTTTTAGTTCAACTCAGTAGTGGATATTTGTTTTGGCTTTTCTCACAGGTTTTCCTATGCACTGTGGGAAGTTGTAAAGCTCACCTTGTAGTGGAGAGTCCTCTTCTATTTAAATGGCTACCGTTAGGAAAAAACCAACCAACCAAATGAGAAAAAGAGCATTAGTAGCTGTATTAAAACCAGGGGTAACTAGAATTAGTGGAATATTACTTTAAGAGTTATGTGTAAGTACAAGTCTGACTTGGATTTTATACTGATCAGTTAATGCTTGTTTAAATAAAATCACACAGCCTAAGTCATTGAGGGGATGTTTGTTTTAGTAAAAAACAGTATATGGATAGTAAGTGGTTTAGCCTACTATTTAATCAGTCAAAACTCATGTAGACAAAGTGGAAATAAGGAGTTGAAGACAGACATTTCATTTAACCATCAGTGGCTTAGTGGTACAAAAAGCTCTCTTAACTATTTATAAAACTGCTCAAATCTGGCTGCAAAAAGAGAGTGTGGAGTCCTTGCCCCTGGAGGCAGCAGAGTATGGATGGAGGAGGGAAAGGACACATGCTTGCCCAAGCCCTGGAGCAACTAGGCAGACTGGAAAGCTGTTCAGGTGGTCTTTTAAAGATGAGACTTACTTTATTTAGGCAGGTAGTAATTTAGTTATCTGTTAAAATCAAGTATTTCTGTTCTTATCACTGCAGTTAAATCTCTGGAAATACATAGCTTTTGGATCTGAGTTTCCATCTCAGGTGGTTGAGGAAAGATTTAGTTGTTGATATAATGTCCAAAAGTGTCTGTGCTTAATAAATAGTACTAACAATTATTCAAAGAAATCTCAGGCTCAACATAATGATCAGCCCCTACTCAACTGCTCAACCTGACACCATCATAACATGAGACAGACTTTGTCCCCAGGAGTGTGTCAGCAGAGTTGTGGTCACTAGCTACATGCTTGTTGGGACACTCGGTTTCTCTTTGGAATTTAGCTTCTGGGAGCTGGCGCCAGCATGGATTGATGATTAGCTCTGTGCTGAGTTTCCCAGGCTTGGGAGCCTCAGCACTCATCAGTGGACAGAGTTCACCTGGCACCTTCTGAAACACTTCCGACCTTGCTCCACCTTTGTGGTTAGCTTCCAAGTTTCTGCCTTTCTAGCTTCACTTTTGACATGCCATGTTCTACCTCCTGCCCTTGGTCAAACAGCTTTGCGATCCTGGAAACAAGTGAATTTAGTAGTTTTGATTTATTCAATCAAAGTGTGACTTTTCAAGAAGTTAGTTATCCAATTAAAACCTTACTTCTAGTGTTTCACTCATTTTTCTTGTTATCTGGCATCACTAGTTAAGGGCCACAAGTGAAAAGTGAAGGCAGTCAGTCTTACCTCTGTGCCCAGCAAGGTCATGGCACAGATCCTTCTGGAAGCTATGCTAAGTCACATGGAAAAGAAGAAAGTGATTTGTGACAGCCAAAATGGCTTCAACATGGGCAAACCGTGCTAACAAAGTTAGTGGCCTTCTATGACCGGGGTTAGAGCGTTGGTGGATAAGGCAAGAGCAACCAACGTCATCTACCTGGACTTGTGCAAAGCATTTGACACTGTCCCACATGGCACTGTTGTCTAAACTGGCAAGACATGGATTTGACAGATGGACCACTCAGTGGATAAGGAATTGGCTGGATGGTTGCACTCAGAGTTGCAGTGAATGGCTTGATGTCCAAGTGGAGACCAGTGATGAGTGATGTTCCTCAGAAGTCAGTATTGGAACCGGAGCTGTTTGACATCTTTGTCGGTCACATGGACAGTGGGATTGAGTGCACACTCAGCAAGCCTGCCAAAGACACCAAGCTGTGTGGTGAAGTGGACATTCTGGAGGGAAGGAGTGCCACCCAGAGGGACCTTGACAGGCTTTAGATGTGGGCCTGTGTGAACCTCATGAAGTTCAACAAGGCCAAGGGCAAGGTCATGCACATCAGTTGCGGAAATCTCAAACACAAATACAGGCTGAGTGGAGAATGGATTGAGAGCAGCCCTGAGGAGAAGGACTTGGGGATGTTGATTAACAAGAAACTCAGCATGTCCCAGGAATGTGCACTTGCAACCCAGAAAGCCAACTGTATTTGGGGCTGTTTCAAAAGAAGCATAGCCAGCAGGTTGGCAACAACGTAAGAAGGTTGTGGAACTGTTGGAGCTACTCCTGAAGAGGGCCATTAAGATGATGAGAGGGCTAGAGCACCTATCCTATGAAGACAGACTGAGAGGGTTAAGGTTGTTCTGCCCGGAAAAGAGAAGGCTTTGGGGTGACCTTACTGCGATCTTCCAGTACCTGAAGGGAACTTACAGGAGAGATAGGGCAAAACTATTTACGAGAGCATGTAGTGACAGGACAAGGGAGAGTGGTTTCAAATTGAAAGAGAGTAGATTTAGATTAGATATTAGGAAAAAATTCTTTACTGTGAGGGTGGTGAGGCACTGGAACAGGTTGCCCAGGGAAGTTGTGGATGCCCCATCCATGGAAGTGTTCAAAGCCAGGTTGGATGGGGCTTTGAGCAACCTGCTCTAGTGGAAGTTGTCCAGGGATGTTAGAACAAGATGATCTTTGAGGTTCCTTCCAACCCAGGACATTCTATGATTTACGTGATTTGCAGTGAATGGTTTTTGTATTACTTGACAATCACAGTTTTTGTTATGTTGTAGAGGTCTTCTTGCCACCTTTCTTTCATTCTTTCTGTCTGTTTTTTAAAAGCCCTCTCCATCCTACAACAATCCAGGAAGCTGTGGAGAATCTTTGCCCTTAAGTTATCCTCCTTCTGTGCTGCACCTTCAAGGTAGACCAGTTGGGAGCACTCTGTCAGATAATGTACATAGTAACTGCATATGGTCAACATGGTTTTAAATAAAAATCCATGGGATATTTTGCACTTAAACTGAATTGTTCCAGATCTTACCTTTTTACAACAAGGTATACTTGTGCTAATTGCTGAATAGACCTGGCTAGCATATTTCTAGTTAAACTGGATTAGGTCTGCATGTCAATTTGGTTTGAAGGAAGCTCTCATAAACCTGACACTAATCTTGCTATATCTAGAGGAATTGTTAATTTGATAGCTCTGTGTCTCAGAGGAGGGATGCAGAAATCAAGATTTTTCACATTTCAAGCTTAATGTTCTGTCTGTATTTACATTTTAAATATGTAAAAGTACATCTCCTCACATCTTTTTCCCCAGGGCTCTTGTTTATCTTCTAGATAGTTTAAGAAGAGATAGTATCTCTGACATCTAAGAGCTGTATGTAAAGAAGATCTAGCTCTTACATTACTAGTTGTGTCACTGTTTAGAATTTATGAAGGACCAGTTTTTTAACCAGTGTTTGCCCGGTAGGAAAATAGTGATTAGTTAAATATATGAAACCGTAGAAAAAAGCAGAGGGCAGAAAATATAAAACACGTTGATTTGGTAAGAAGCGTGCAACTGAAATACAAGGTGAGGTCTGCCATCCCGAATCAGGACAATTTAATAATCTCTTGCTTGGATTTAGACTAGGCATACGCAGAAAATAAAAGCTTCTTTCCTGAAGATACATGGCACTTGGAATGGTTAACAGTAGTAAGCTATGGTTTCCTTCAACTTGTAATAGTTAGTCCTTTCCCTTTAATGGATCTGATTATGCTCATTGCAGTTGGAAGTCCATAATATGCAACATCTCTTTTAAATACATCAGAAGACTGTTAATTTGTCCTTCCTTAGTGTGTTGTCACAGTGTGTGTTGAACTTAACGTGCTATGTTCATTTAATCAGTACAAAACAAGTTGGTATAAACTTAATGTTAGACCTGTTGAATTGCAATAGTTTGACCTCTTCTGTTTCCAGTCTTGTGGGATTATTAGGTAGTTTAAAAGCTGTAGAAAGTTCTTCTGTGCAGTTTTGATTCACAGCAGCAGCAGCTGGACCTTTTCCCTCATGAACTGAGTAATGCCTCATGTAAACTGCAGTTGTGATTGTGATGCATGCCCATCACCCACGCAGGTGTAAGTTACAAACCTAAAAAAACAACAGAAATGAGTGACTTTGGGGATATTTATTTTTCTTCCCACACATGCCAACTGGCAGTGACTTTGTCTGAAAGGCTTTTACTCAGGCAGGAAGTGTCTTTGTTAGTACTTTGAAGAAGTTTTTCAAGAGTAACTCTACAACCACAAAGTTGTCTTCATGGTTCGGAACATCCATCTTCTGTGTGCTCCAGGTATTGTCACCTTCTGGCCACCCAAGCTGTTAAGACAAAAAACCAAAAGACTTCCCTTGTCTTGGTAATTCTGAGCCCTAAATGGTGATATGAGTTATGTATTAGTAGATTGGAAAAAACACCAGAGAGGTGACGTCTATGTTTATTAACAGATGGCTTCTTGGTTTGACATTTAGCTGGGGCAAGCATTTCACAGTCCATTATGCATTTGATTCAGTGCTCAGTAGCACTGGTAAAAATGCAGGGCAATATAATTTTGGTGGGGTTTTTTTACTATTTGATTGAGGGTTTTTTTAGGTTTTGGGTTTTGTTTGGATTTTTTTTTTTTAGAGTGTCATCCAGAATTTTGGGTCAGAGGAGCTGTCAAATCCCACAATTGTTTGAACATCTCACTTGGCTATTGCTCATGGGCCAAATAAATCCTTGGGGTAAAGCATATCTTATCCTGAAAATACTTAGATGTTTAAGAATTGTTCCTATTAGGTTTTGCATGTTTAGAATTACATCTTGTTTCTAACAAGAGCCTTCCATGCTTTTGACTTGCCTCTGTTCATCCCTTTTAAGTCTTCTTGTGGCAGTATTAAAGAGTTTCTTGTTGCTGATTTTTTTTTTCCTTAAAGATGATCAAGTAAGTTGTCAGTTGGCTGTGTGGCTTATCAGAAGGACTGCATCTTTAAATCTGATTATACATAATCCTTTTGTCCCCCTCTAGATGCTAATTGCTTTTGCAGCTCTACTCTACATGTTCTGTAATTTTCAACATCTTTTTTTGAGCATCAGCCATGGAACTGGGCACAGTATGTCAGCGTCATTCTTTACCATGGCATGCTCCATGCTACCCCATTCAGTATTTCCATTCATTCTCATATCTTTGCACCTGTGAGCCACATTAGCCCTGCTAATAACAATAGAAGGTATGAATGTCATGCTTAGTATGTTGACCTCATCCCTTTTGATTTCCTTGCTTCTTAACGTCATGGTCCTCTGATTTGCAAACCTTACCTGCATCCCGCATTACTGCATATATCTGAGTGCATATATCTGCATTCAGACATCTTAAGATGTTTTGGTTGGAATGAACCCAGTTTGACAAATAACTGAGTCAACTCTGATTTGCTTTCTGTTTTTATTTATCATGCTACTAAACTATGTAATCTGGTAATTTTGCCATCAAGGACATGCGTATTTCCAGGTAGCTAATAAAACACCGAAGTAATGTAGAGCATAATTCCAGTCATTCTGAACCGCAAAAGGAGCATTGCAGTTGCATGGTGATGTTACTCACTAATGACAGCTTTTTTGAGATCTTTCAGTTAACTATTTTTTACCTATTTGGCCTATACGTTTGGATATCCTGGTTTCAAAATCCCATTGATTTAATGTTTGTTGATCATGTCACATCTTTAAACCTTGAATTGCTGTATGTGGTGCAAAATCAATACATTTCACCCTCCTTACTCTTAACCTTTTGCATTTATAGGGATGAAAATAAGAAATTTTCTGCAATGTCTTGAGATGTCAGCTCCAAAATTATTTCTTTCTTAGGATGCCAATAAACTCACTGAGCAAGCTCTTTATCTTTGGCTGTCATATTGCCCAGTCCCTTGTCTTATCTGTTTCTCTGAAGAATCTTTTCTGTCTCTCTCCCAGCAGGAGCAAGTACACATCAAAAGGCACTTCATCTTGGAAGCTATTTGCACGGAAGCCTGAGCCTCAAGAAGTCCCTTTCACTAGCAACAGTTGTGCTGCTCAGGTGAGCTAAGAACTCATTTGGACTGAGGGGGTTTTTTAACCTCCATTTCTGCTTCCAAAGCGTCATGTTTGTGTCGTACTTCTTGCTTGAGAAGGAGGAGTTCCTCATTTAGAGCACTGCAGTGTGGTTGGCTTGGTGCACTGAGACAAGAGGTGGCTGTACGGTGTTGGTTTATGTGCTTTGGGCTTAAGTTGAAATATTACAGCCTCAAATTTAGTGTAATAACCTGGCATGAAATATATTTATTTTGTAATTGTCCTGGATACTGTCTGCTTCAATTGTGATTTTTGTGTGTATCTTTGTAACCCTGGACCTGTAGTGTCAAATGACATTAAGCAACTTGTGTGCGTGCCGCATCTACAAGTTAACTCAGTTATCAAAACATAGTATCTCAATTGCTCAGAGTAACACTTTCCACTTCACTTTTGCAATCTGTGTTGCTTATGTTGCCATTGTTCAAATTATTCTACACAGGTGTCCTCAGCGAGGACTTTCCAATTTACTTTTCCCAATTGTAGCAATTAGTTATTATCTTTTAATTTTGATCCTTACGCCTATAAAATGAGTAAATGTAAACAGCATCCTTGAAACTAAACTCTTAATGATATATTCTCCTACTGATAATTTGAAGAGGCAGACTGCGTTTTCTGTTGTCTGTGGCTTAATTAATCTACTTGAATTATACTTGAACAGTAACTCCAGTATCAGAAGAGGTTTTAGCAGTCTTGGAAGTTAGGAGCTTTTGAATGAGGCAGCACTAAAGAGTTACTTTATGTTACTACTTAGCTTGTTGGGAAGAGAAGAGAGGAGACTGGTAAATTTATGGCGAGAAATGGCTACGTTCTTGCATCCTTTCCCTCCCTCTCACAGACTTTTATTTTCTCACACCTTTCATGGACGATACCTTGGCATGGATGGGAAGGTCTCTGTCCCAAACTGAGATGCTCCTACACTATGCTAATAATTCACTGGCATCAGTCAGATGAAACAGGCATATTTACTGGAATACCAGAAGAAGTCTGGGCTGCTTTGTGTGTAGGTATAGTGTCCAGAGTGCCATCTATGGGATCCACTATAAGCAGTGGGGCAGTGGGGTCCTGTAGGTTTCTTGACTGGGGACCTCATCATCGTGGTTTTGGTTTTGCCTTTAGCAAGTAATTTAATGTCTTTCTGATTTTATTTTTTCTCCTGGATTTTCATTTTTTGGGGGGGTTTGTTGTTGCTGGGTTTTGGGTTGGGGGTTTGTTGTTGTTGTTGTTGTTTTGGTTTGGGGTGGGTGTTTTTGGTTTTGTTTGGTTGGTTGGTTTGGGGTCTTGTTTTTTTTAGTTTGGGGGTTTTTTTGTTCTTATTTTTTGCATTGCCTCTCTTTAGGGAATTTTGGGAAATCTGTAGCACATTTTAGTGGTATTTTTGTCAGGTATAAGTAGGGCAAGTGGATGCTGCAGCATTCCTTCTTGACCTGATAATTCTCTAAATTATCCTATGTTGCCTCCCCAAAACCCCCTGTGCAAAAGCAGACCTTGCATCCCCAGATTTCCTGGCTTGAGCAAAGCCTCCTACAAAGCACTTTCACATCAGGCTCTCCATACCCGCGAGATGACTTGGCATAGGAGAGAGTGTTTCTGTTCCAAGTGGGTTAGCAGCAGGCGTGGACCATCATTCAATGATATGAAATCTTTGGTGGCAGCTCTGCTGTAAGTAGTTCCTACCATCACTGGCCAGTACCTGCATGGTTGTGCTACCATGACAGTTTTGTGGAGCTGTGCAGCGGACTGGACAGCAGAGCTGATCTAGCATTAGACTATATTATATACAGTTGTTATATGGCTTTGAAAAAAGTACTTAAAAGTTTCCCTGCATCTCTGCTGTGTTTCACAGCATAGCCCTGCAAACACATAGTTATTTGCAATGTTGGTCTGAGATGCTGGAAGGCACCCCCCCACACACAACCCCGCCCAAGGAAAAAAAAAAGGATTCAAGACCTGCTTAAACTAATTTTGTTGCCAAGTTCTTTGTGTTATCAAGCCCTGCCTGTGTCTGTAGCTCTCTTCTTTTCCTGATGGTCCCATCCTGGGTGGCCCTATTAGTCAGGGAAAAGGAGGCTTTGGAAACAGTTAGGGTGTTGAGTTTATACTTTCAATACCAGCCATGCTCCTGTTCTTCCATGTATTTGTGGGAATAATATGAGGTGGCTTTAAAGTAAATACAGACATTTTGCATAGATCTTGCTAGTGCCTTTTTTCTCTCTGGGTGCTCTAAATATCATGTCCATGTGCAGTTTGGGAGAGAGCTTTGTCAGTCGGTACCTGTTGGTTTTCTTTTTTGGCTGGTGACCTCCAGTGCACTGCTAACGTTCTCTATAGCATTAACCATGCACATAGTCACTTCCTTTTCCCTCTTACCTCATTTTAAAAGACTTGAATCTTGTAAATGGGGTGATAATTTCAAAGCAAACAGCTTCCAATCCTTTCTTGCCAAGTTTTGCCCACAAGATATGCAAGTAAACAGAGCAGTTAGGAAATTAGTTATGTACTTTCCCTCCTAGTGCAAGGCATCCCAGGATGGTTCCTAACCCTTTAAGTAGTGAATAAAGGGAGAGATGGAGACTAGTACACCTGAGTTTTGTTTTAATGTATGGAGCCATTGCACAGATCATTCATGTTTTACAAGCTTTAGGAAAACCTTGTAAAATGTGAGACTTTAAAAAATCTCCACTATTCATATATTGAACATAAAAGTGTTTTATTGCTTGCAGCAAAGAAAGAAAAGCAAAATACCAAGGATGGGCTAAAAGAAATACAAAGAATTTTCTTCATATGTAAAAAAATAACTTTGAAGCAGACTTTTCCTAAATATGAGGAAGATTCTTACCTCTGGTAAGCTCTTTGAGGAAGCTTAGAAGGATTTCCATGTGCTGCCATGATGTTTATGGTTTGATTTGGAAACTGTGGGTCTGGATGATGGAATGATGGGTATGCAGCAATCGCAGAGTACAATACCTGTAACAGGATATGAACAGCCTTTGCCAATTGAGCAATAGAAAAATTTGTTAAATGTGAAAACTAGACCTAAGGTTATTGACCCTGAGGCTTAGCTACAAGGTGGTAGTGTGGCTGTAAAGAGGAATAACCATTGTATGATCTCCTCCAAATGAGATAGGGCAGGTCCCAAGAGTACGAGGCCTGCAGGAATTCAAATCAACAGTCGAGTTATAATCTAATGAGGCCATGAGCACAAACATAACTTCAATTTAAAGCTCCTGCATGTGGCAGCACAAATAGAAAGCTGGAGCCCTCCTGGTCCCAAAAGAAGGTCCTTCATTAGCAATTTTACTCCCTTGGCATGCCTCAAAGGGCATTATCATAATAACTCATAGTTATTCTCCTTCACACATTTCTGTCCACTTCATAAAAGTGGCTATATGCATGGAGTGTGCTCTACTCATTTTCAGAAATAGGATCTCTGTTAAAAAAAAAAAAAAAGAAAAAAAGAAAAAAGATATACATTTGAATGTATTATATACAATATGTATAATATATTTTATTGTTACAATTGATGTGTTTTTAAAGAAAAGTCTGCCCTGTCATATGGAAACTTTCCCTTTGTGTTTCCCAAGTGAAGGTTATGAAATTTGCTGAAGATGGGTTTTTTTTCCCTAGAAATTCCTTGAGTACCATAAAGATTAATTCAAAACAACTGAAAGAATGTCTCTTCTGGAAATATCTATCTTCTGGAGTATTTCAGCTGTGCTTGTGCCAAAAGCAGAGCAGTGAACTCAGCTGCAAGGGCCTAGTTTGGCTGTACTTGTAGTCCCTACAATGCATAGGCTGATTTTTTTTTTTAAATACAGATTTAATGCTAAGTTCTTATGTTTACTGGAGGGAGAGGAAATATTACAGTTTTAGTAAATTTTTTTTAGTCATTTATATGTATATTAGCCACAATGTAAGGATGATGTGTTCCTGGAATAATTTCTTTATAAATAGCTGTACTTCAATACAGCATGAGCTCAAACATCCCAAACCACACAATTTTTTTGCTCTTTAGTTCAAATAAACCTTACTTCAATTGACATATATTTTTTTCCTGAGTGAAATTATGAATATACTCTTTATAAACCCTTTACAAACCAAAGACAGATAAGATGCTGAGTTAGCCTTCTGCTTATCATAGCCCCCATGAAGCAGACACTGCTTATAAGATTTGATTCAACATCTGCTTTTTACCTGTGAATCCTTAATGAGGTTAAAGCTGTCCAGGTCAAGACAATTACAAATGTGATGCAAATCATACCAAAGCCAGGAGATCATCAGCCCAGAAGCTTTGTGTATGAACTACAAATTGTCAGAGTAACCTTCTCTTCAGTACATACCCATTCTCATTCCCTGCCCATCTCCTGGGGAAGAAGAGGCAGTGGGATAGACTGTACCTTTCTGGCTTACTTGATGCAAAGATCAGCAAACCAGATAGTAGTTCAGATTTTTTATTTTTCGTCCTTTGAGTGGCTGTTTGAATGGGTTTCCTCTTGCTCTGTGGGCAGACAGAAGGCAATGTCTTATCTCCTTCTCTATCACAGTTACAATAGCCTTCTTTGGGTTTTTTTTCAGACTATATGTTAAGTATAGTGGGGATAATATGCTTACATTTCATCCTTTCATCTGGAGAAACCTGGCAGCAGATTGCTGAGTGATGGAAGGTTGGCTAATGGGAGCAGTGTTGCAGTAGCTCCATATTATTTGGCAGTCACTTCATATTATTTGGCTGTTTGAAGCAGAGATAGAAAAAACTTGGTGCTGTCTATGTTGGGTTTTATCTCTTTGGTGTGATGAGGCTGCACATGTGAAAGTTTTGAGAATGCTGGAATATTTTTCCTATTTCTAATTTTAGCTATAAGTATCTATGGCCTACTTAAATAAGATTAACCTGCATACCTCAAACTGAATACCAGATTACAAGAAAATTAGGTTGCTTTCTTCAAGTGAGCAGGTGGCAAACTCAAA